TTTTGATGAATTTGTAATTTTTGCAGTTTTTATTTGTATTGTTTTATTGTTTTCTGGGTTGTTTTGTTTTTGTTTTTATTGTTTTAAGGTTTTATTGATTTAGGCTGCGAAAGAATGCCATCAATGGAGGCTACCATGAGGCCTGGGATTGCTACCGTGGAGGGGCGAGGGAGGTATGGCGGTGGGGGCAGATGTTATAGGCGAAGGGGATCGAGATATGGATACGCTCGTACCCTTCCAATCTGCGCCCCATCCCGAGGGACGAGGGTAGGGTGAGCAAGGATTACTCACCTCCGTCACTGGTGCTGTGCAATGCCAGGTCTATAGGCAATAAAACCGCCACCCTGCGAGATTTCTTTATCTCGCAGGGGGTTGACCTGGCTTGTGTGACGGAGACCTGGGTGCACGAAGGGGCAACAGTTACCTTACGAGAGATGGCGCCCCCAGGTTTCTCCGTCCTCCACCAGTCGCGGACTGTGGGCCGGGGGGGAGGGGTGGCATTATTAATCCGGGAAGATTGTCCTTTCAGGGCTCTACCATCGCCATCGATCCCGGCATTGAATGTGTTGGCCTAGTGTGGGGCTCCGAGGAGAGCTTGGCTGTCTGGCTGGTGTACCGGCCACCTAGCGCACCAGCAGCCACCCTGTCAGGCCTAGTGGAGGCGGTGGCCGGCTGGGCCTTGGAGTTCCCTAACCTATTGGTATTGGGGGACTTTAACATCCATGCTGATGCCACTCCCTCCTCACAGGCTCTGGACCTGGTGTCTTCCATGGCGACACTAGGGCTCTCCCAGTTTGTTTCGGGCCCCACACATCAAGCAGGCCACACGCTGGATTTGATCTTTGGCGTAGGTATAGATGTGATCATGTTTCCTTCGATGAAGGTGCCATGGTCTGATCACTACGCTCTGAAAGCCAGGATTGACTTTCCACCCCCACCCTGCTTAGGTGGCGAGCCGATTTGGGCTCGCCCGCAGAGGCTGATGGACCCTGATAGATTCCGCCAAGCCTTGCGGGACCTTGCTCCCCTGGCGACTCATTGACTGAGCTTGTTGAGGGCTGGAATACCCAGCTCCTGGCAGCCATCGATGAGATCGCACCTAAGCGCCCTCTGCGACCCCGCAGAAACCGGGCTCCCTGGTTTACCGAGGAGCTCCGGAAAATGAAGCGGGACCTCAGACGGCTAGAGCGAGTATGGCGGGGTGCCCGTGACGGAGCCTCAAGAACATCTTATAGGGCTTTTATGAAAACCTACGAGATGGCGGTGAAGGCTGCTAAGAAGTCATACTTCTCGGCCTCCATTGCATCCGCTAGCTCTCGCCCGGCGCAATTATTTAGTATAATCAGGTCTTTAACGTCCCTTGAGGGACAGCCAAATTTAAATAACAATTTGACACACAGCTGTGAGGCATTTGCGAGCTTTTTGCGGAGAAGGTCTTGTTGCTCCGCCATGACCTCCCGGCCAATTTGGATACAATAAAGGAACTGGAGGCCCCTCGACTGTCCTCGGGTCCAGTATTGGACCACTTCGACCGGATATCCCCAGCCGATGTGGACAGACTCCTCCGAGCTGGAAAGCCCACCACCTGTCCCCTCGACCCGTGCCCGTCTTGGCTGATTAGAGCGTGTCCAGACGAGGTGCGGGCCCTCCTGGGGGATATCATCAATTTGTCCCTTGGCACGGGGACATTCCCAGGGGAACTGAAGGAGGCAGTGGTGCGCCCGCTCTTAAAGAAAACATCATTAGATCCTTTAGATCTATCCAAATACCGCCCGGTTTCGAATCTTCCGTTCCTGGGTAAGGTGATTGAGAGAGCGGTTGCTGAACAGCTTGGTGGTTTTCTGGATGAAACATCGGCTCTGGATCCATTCCAGTCCGGCTTCCGCACTGGTCATGGGACCGAGACGGCTCTGGTTGCCCTAACAGATGATCTTCGTAGACAGCTGGATCGAGGCGGGTCGGGGCTGCTGATTCTTCTAGATCTGTCAGCAGCTTTCGACATGGTCGATCACGAACTTCTAGACCACCGCCTTGCCGACGTGGGGATCCAGGGCACAGTCCTTCAATGGCTGCGCTCGTTTCTCTCTGGTCGGGGACAGAGGGTGGCGCTTGGGGGGGAATTGTCATCGCGCCACTCCTTGGTGTGTGGAGTACCTCAGGGTGCGATACTCTCCCGATGCTTTTCAACATCTTTATGCGCCCTCGCCCAGCTTGTTCGGAGTTTTGGGCTGGGTTGCCATCAGTATGCCGATGACACCCAACTCTATCTGTTGATGGATGGCCATCCTGACTCGGCCCCAGACACACTGACTAGATGTTTGGAAGCTGTGGCTGGATGGTTTCGTGGGAGCCGGTTGAAGCTAAATCCTTCGAAGACAGAGGTCCTGTGGCTGGGACGGGGCGATATGGGATTGGGGGGGCAACTCCCATCTCTTGCGGGGGCGCATTTAGTGCCAGCACCGTCCGTTAAGAGTTTGGGTGTAATCTTCGACACCTCCCTTTCCATGGAGGCGCAGATTGCAGCTATAACAAAGGCGGCATTTTTCCATCTCCGCCAAGCTAAGCAGTTGGCTCCTTACCTCTCTCGCCCTGACCTAGCCACTGTGATCCATGCGACGGTCACCTCCAGACTGGATTATTGTAACTCGCTCTACGTGGGGCTGCCCCTGAGACTGACCCAGAAACTCCAGCGGGTGCAGAATGCTGCAGCGAGACTCCTTACGAGGTCTTCGCTGCGAGATCACATTCACCCGGTGCTATACCAGCTGCACTGGCTCCCGGTGGAGTACAGGATCAGGTTTAAGGTGCTGGTTTTAACCTTTAAAGCCCTATACGGCCTAGGACCCTCGTACCTACGGGACCGCCTCTCCTGGTATGCCCCACAGAGAAACTTACGGTCTTCGAATAAAAACATCTTGAAGGTCCCAGGCCCCAGAGAAGTTAGGCTGGCCTCAACTAGAGCCAGGGCTTTTTCGGCTGTGGCTCCGATCTGGTGGAACACTCTGTCACAAGAGACCAGGGCCCTGCGGGACTTGACATCTTTCCGCAGGGCCTGCAAGACAGAGCTGTTCCACCAGGCCTTTGGCCAGGGCACAGCCTGACTCCCTCCCTCGGCAATCTTCGCGGAGCTCTGGCCCAATGGTTGCCAGTGGCTTGAATTAATTAATTTTATAACGAATGATTTTAGACTGTTGTTTATGCTGTACTTTTGTACTGTTTTATTGTTGTTAGCCGCCCTGAGCCCGGCTTCGGCTGGGGAGGGCGGGATATAAATAAAATTTATTATTATTATTATTATTATTATGATAAGACAAAAACATGATTCTAACGATTAACAACACATTTATTGTGCCACTACTTTATATAGACTAGAATGTGCTTATGCTACAAAAAACACATGCCTAACCATGTCTACTCATAAGTAAATGCTACTGGGTTCAATGGCACTTACCAAGTAAGTGGGTTTAGGATTTCAGCCTAAATGGTAATCCTGATATAATTTACCCTGTTTAAATCCTGTGAGTAATGCTGAATAAGAAGCAAGTCCACAAAATAAATTGGCTAGAAAGAAATCTGGCATATAGAAGGTATTCTGCAAATGTTCAGTGGCATTTTAAGAAGTGAAGCTGTATTTTTAAGCATTCCAGCTGCTGTTGAATTGTCACTCCCTTGAACCCTACAGGTTTAGAACTTAGCCCAAATTCAGAATTTCACCTGGTACAGCTTACACCATGCTACAACAGAAGCTGCATCAAGGTGAATTGCCTCTTTTGAGTTACAGATCAAGGAAGGCTGTCAGAGGAATTCCTGCTTCACTTTCTAAAGCAGTCACTCACTTCATGGTGTGTTTTTGTGTGTTTCTTTTCTAGAAACATAGGGGACGCGGGTGGCGCTGTGGGTTAAACCAGAGCCTAGGACTTGTCGATCAGAAGGTTGGCGGTTCGAACCCTCGTGACGGGGTGAGCTCCCGTTGATGGTCCCTGCTCCTGCCAACCTAGCAGTTCGAAAGCACGTCAAAGTGCAAGTAGATAAATAGGTACCACTCCGGCGGGAAGGTGAACGACATTTCCGTGCGCTGCTCTGGTTTAGCCAGAAGCAGCTTAGTCATGCTGGCCACATGACCCGGAAGCTGTACGCCGGCTCCCTCGGCCAATAAAGCGAGATGAGTGCCGCAACCCCAGAGTCGGTCACGACTGGACCTAATGGTCAGGGGTCCCTTTACCTTTATGTTATTCTAGAAACATACATGAACAAGTCAGGATATCAGATGACACACTTGCACTCAACAGGGGCCTGCTTTGGCTCTCTTACTTCACAGTACAGGTAGTACAGCAATAAAGCAGACAGTGGCAGATTTCCAGGATCCTGAATATATGTTTCCAGTATGGCCTAAAGCCTCCATACCTTGCCCAGAACTTTCTTCCCCCACCCAAACCTGTGCTCAACATAATTCCATCGTTACACACGCAGCATAGAAAGATACTTTGTTTTGTTGTTTTATTAATTAAAATATTTTTGAAAAGTAAAAGAAAACACACTGCATACATGGATTATGAATATAATATCTGTAGCAGAACCATCATGTGGACAGTTTCTCCCGTAATATCAAATGCAGCCCCACCCCACTGAAACCAACTTCCTTTTGAACTAGTCCCAGTGTAGAAGGGGTGCAAGCATATTGGTGAAAGGTGATGTGAAGAACAGCGGCAGCCTCCCTCTTCGGTTCCATTACTTCCACTGCGCTTTGTCCAAGAGAATGTCGATTCTTCTGAGAAAATTCCTTCTCATTTTATTTCTGGCAAAGGTAGCTCATACAATGGTAGGGCAACTTGTCAGAACCAACTAACCCACAATATCCCACTGTTCGGTTTCCTCCAGTTTGGAGGTTGTACATTCCCCTGGGCTAAGACAACAACCCCGTGGCAAGTAACAGCCCCCACCCCATCATATTTGCATTGAGAACCATCCCTTTTGATGTAGGGTCTCCGCAGAATGTCAAAATCAACTAGGTCAACCCAAAAGGACAGATACCCTGTTAGCTACTACGCTACAGCTGCCAGGGATATTCTCAGGGGCAGGTGTGGCACAGTGACTTCTCAGCTGCTGTGTTTCTTGGAAATCCATGCTTTTAAATTCAGCCTCAAAGCCAACTCTGCACAGTCGTGCTCTCATCTGCTGAGGGGATCATGAAGCGCTTCTGTGCACAATTCTGACAATGCCCCCTTTGGCGTGCCACTCTCAAAACTCTTGACTGTGATGGATCTAAATTGCAATTTGACTGTGGAAAACTAAATTGCAACTACAATCAAGTTTTCTTTTTCCAAACGGTCATAGCTAAAAGCGAATCCCCCCCACCTGAAATTTTGCTGACTGACTGCTTCCCAAATACTGCCTCACGCGTGTTTGCTGCCCCTGTTTTGCTCTACCTGCCTGACAATGGAAGTAGAGGCAGTCCAAGGTTTTGTGCTAGAGCAGCTCAGAAACTAAGGTTCCAGGGCCAGTGACAAGCAAGAGATGAGAAGGTGTGTATCCTCTTCCTCTTCCGGTTAAGACAGAAGCCACCAATTCTACTACCCTACGAGAGCAAGACAGCAGGTTTCGCCAGAAGGAAGGAGTTTGCCATGCAGAATCAGAAAGGGACAGGAGGTGAGATGAGGGTGGGGGAGGAAGTGGGAAGTCTTCACTCTAGTGGAGCACAGTAAAGTTGGCGTCACACTGCTAACACCCCTTCTCTCCCTGCCACCCTGAAAACATCTGTTCCAAGACATGCCTGATCAATGCAATACCAACAAGAATGCCTCAGACAATCTCTTAAAACGAAGGGTGGATGTGTATTGAAGCCGAGCTGCTTCCGTTGCTTAGATCAGTTTCTCCTTCACTTCTTGGAAATCTTGGCTTGCTTGTGTTTCGGAGGTGCCCATCGCAGACAGAGGGAATCCACTGGAGGGGGAGGAAGGAGGGGAGGGAAAAGCAAAGTCAATAGGTGTGGAGCAGGCACTTGAGACAGGTAGACAAGCAGCAGTGCTGCCTTTTAGCCAGCTAAGAATGCTGACACAAGCTTCTCAAAAGGCTATCCCAGTTCAAAACGCTACTGTTTCCAGTAGAGTTTTTTAATGCTCTTCAGAAAAACAAGCAGCAGAATGCCAATATGAATGAAATGATGCCTTGGGATTGTAACAAAGGCAAATACTGATTACTGAGACAAATTCATTTTAGCTTCTATGAGAGCCTGTTTGCTGTTCTACCCATCCTGGAAACAACTGCATTTCAGAGAAGCAAATGATACTCCAGCTTATCTTGAAAGTGGCTGATAATCAGCCTTCATGCCCCACCCTGCAGATTGCTCCTCTGCAACAACTGACAGCGAGCAGCTCCTTTAAAAAAAGAGAGAGGCTCAGAAGGAGAAACTGGCACTCTGTCTGCAGCTCCTCTTACATAACTGGCACTGACTGGCACGTCAGCAGCCCCACCGGGGCAAGCAATGCTTCTTTCAGCAGGGATCAAAACCTGAAACCACTGAAAGTGGTTCTGACTTCCTGACCTCTCACAAGGTGGTTCTGTGTTTGCACTCAGCAATGCCTGGCACACTCCATGACGGAATGAACAAAGCAAAAGCAGGATATGGGTGGTATCCAACTAGCATTTGGCTGCACAAAGGATATTCCCCTCCCTCTTCTCTCCACTCTTCCCCATGTCTGCTCCAGAGGGTTAGGGTGAATCCCCAGTACAGAATCAGGGGGGCACGGAAGGTGCATGGGGAGAGGGAAGCCCTTGCGCTAGTGGATCTATTTAGTTGGATACTACCCAATTATTCCGGGAACAGATTTAAATGTAGAGAACTGTACATGGGGAGAGGGGAGACAAATACTCTATAAAGTTTGCATTCAGAATTGATTAAGCAAAGTAGTTAAGCCTGTCCGCATTTAAGTTGCACTGGTGATTCAGCTTCCAAGGAATATGAACGTCTTATTGCAAATGTTATAGCAGCAGAAAGGACTGGAATTAGACATGCTATTGCCCAGCACAGTTGTAACAGGAAAGAATACAGTATTAACTGAAAGGGACAAGTAGAAACACGTTAATTCTTTGTCACAAACATCTCCATTCTATGGTTTCTGAAATAGACAGACAGCATCCACATATTTTGAAGACTTGAAACAAGATGGGGGGGGGGGACTGATATTCTCTTGCTGTCTATAATAATTTATTTATTTATTGCATTAGCCGAATGGCCATAGCATGATATACATTGAGATGACAACATAAAATGGGGGTGGGGAGGTAGAGGTAGACATCGTCCTGGGCGAATACTTAAAGAAAGTGAAGGAAAAAAAAAAAAAAAAAGCTGCTGAGGCTGGAGGAGGACCGTTAAAGGGTCCTTCAGCTCCTCAGATTAGTCCTAACTCGATTGTCCTTGTACAATAAGGCTACTTGGAACTTCGTTCGGTTGTGCGGCGTATCGACTGCATCTGTGGTGTTAAGGAAGAAGTTAGTGCCGCTTTCCTCTTCATCACACTAAGCAGGAAATTAGCTGTCATCTCAGTAATCCAACAATCAGAATCCTGCAAAAAGAGGGACACTATCCAAGGCTGGATTGGGAGATGGAACTTATTCACGAGGGAGTTAAAACCGAGATCTTTCATCTGTCCAGTTGGGACAGAAGAGCATTACATGTTCCATAGTCTCCAGGGCCGTGTCATTACAGGAGCATGTTCTGTTTGCGATGGGAACTCTGGAATAACGACCCGACAGAACTGCTGTAGGAAAACAGTTGAGACGGGCACAGGTAAAAGCCCTTCGCTTAGTCTCCGAAGAAATTGTGAAGCAGTATAGAGGATCCCTTCAGGGGGTGGAATAGCTAGGGCTAGGCCTGAACACGGTCCTCTTGCACAAGAAGCTGTGTTGGAGAAGTCAAGTTGCTGTAGTTTCTTTTTAATTAGGGGTAGGGCCACCGGGCTGATACACTCTAAGTTAAGAACAGTTTTACAATTCAGATTGAGAAGAGAGCGGAATTTGAGGTTAATTGTAGTTTTCCAAGGGGATTATGAATATCTCTTAGGATCAGATTGGAAAAGCCACCTCTAATTCGAGCATCCGATGCTAATAGGTGGAGGGTGTAGGAAATAGCTCGGCTCCATGCTCGTCTAGCAATTGAAGGCTGGGCGAACTCGAGTCGTAGGGCTGCACCTGAGACACATCTCGGGACGCCGGAAAGAGATCTCAGAAACATATGAAGTGGGCGATCCAGGTTACCTGATATTGCTGTAGTCCATACTTCGCATCCATATAATAATTTAGGGACGACTTTGGCATTAAATATTTGAATTGCTGCTGGAAGGTGTTTGCCGCCCTTCTGGTGGTAAAATCGGACAATGGCGTTAGAGGTCGTGGTTGCAGCGAGAAAGGCAGATTGTAGATGGGTGGTCCAGGAGAGATTATAGGTGAATATTAATCCTAAATATTTAAAGGCTTTTACCTTTTCTAAGTAGCCACCTGTGATCTTAAGCGGCTCCAACTTGAGTTTGCGGGAACGAGTGAAGTGGAGGACTTTCGATTTTTTATAATTAATATTAAGAGCTTCCGCCTTACAATAGGCGATAAATGCATTAACTGCATTTGCTAGATCCGCAGCTGTTCTGGATAAGATGACGGCATCATCAGCATAGAAAAGGGAAGCAACGGGGTGGCCTGCTAAGTGAGGAGGATACTTAGATGCTAGCTTCAAAGTGGAAATTGCATCATGAAGATAGAGATTAAACAGTAAAGGGGCCAAGAGGCAACCTTGTTGGACGCCCTTGGCCGTTGGAAATGGAGTAGTGGGGAGCCGTTTGGACTAGTTCGGACGCGAGCTGTGGTGTTTGAATAAAGGGAGATAATTAGGAGAGAAGGTGCGGATCAATTCCCAGATGGGCAAGTTTGGACCATAATCTCTGCCTAGGAATGGAATCAAAGGCGGCCTCCAGGTCCATGAAAGCGGCAAATAGGTGGCCTTGCCTTGGAGCAGTGTATTTACTGGCAAGGTGAAAGAGAGTTAGACAATGGTCCATGGTTGACGCTGACTTTCGGAAACCAATCTGTTCTAGCGGTAGAATGTTCCTCTCCTGGACCCATGAGAGAAGTTCCTCCAGTAAAACAGCGGCAAATATTTTCCCGGGATGGATAATAAGCTGATGGGGCGATAGTTCCTAGGGATGTTTGGCTGGCCGCCTTTGAAGATCGGAACTATTATAGCTTCTCTCCAGGAGCCGGGGATGTCTAGGGCGGAGGAGATAGCGGTGAATACAGGAGTCAGGTGTTCGCTCCACCAAAGAGGATCAGTCAGGAAAAGGTCCAACGGGACCATGTCTGGGCCGGGGCCTTATTCCTTTGCATTGACATTATGATGTTGAAAATGCGAGTTGAAGTAAAGTTTATTGAAGAAGTGGGACTAAGAGAGCAGGAACTGAGGTCCAATGGGGATTGGAGGAGATCTGTAAGATGGTTTGGAGAAGCGAAACTAGTTGAATAATAAGCAATCCATTCATCCGCGGAAATCTGGGTAGCTGGATTGAATGGTGCCGAAGGTCTAACTAGGCGCCAGAAGGAGCGGGAGTCATGCCTCTCTACAGCCGAACGAAGAGTGGACCAAGCCTCAAAGATGTACTGCTGTTTCTTGCAATGAATCATGTTTCTATATGTCCTTTTAATATCTATGAGCTTTGCACGGGTTTGGGGGTCGTTGGAAGATTTGATGATTCTGACCATTTTCCTAATTCGCCTTCTTAGGGCTTTACATTCCTTGTCAAACCAGGGCGATTCAGAGAAGAGGCGTTGGTAAGTAGGCGAGGTGGTGGTTATGTAAGTTGTTGAGAAAGCATCAAGTAATTTCCGGTATTGGTCAGCGGGCAGGATTGGATCAGAGGGAACTGCAGACATGTCAAATGATTTTTGTATGTCCAGGGCAAGAGAGGAGCTGAGGCTTGTCCATTTCTTTGTTTTGTATACAGGGTGGCTTTGTACCATGGTTCTATAGTTTGAGGAGACTGGGAGTGGCTCTATTAGGTTTAACATTAGAGTCAATGGAAGGTGGTCACCACCAAAATATTCAGCCACTTCCATTTTTGTAGAAATTGAGAATAGCTCCGGCGTCAATAAAATGTAGTCGACAACACTGGTCCCCGGGAAGTGATGCACGTTAATTGCTGCGAGGACAAGGAGTAATGTTACCATTTGCGATGCAGAGATCGTTTTCCATGGCCAGTTGGGCCATCAGCCTCCCGACGCATTTGTTATAGGATCAAGAGAGCATCTGTTTCCCCAGGGGCTGCAGGGATTGTCCAGGAGTGCTGCGGGAGATATTATATCATCGTCGTTGGGACCTATTCTTGCATTAAAGTCGCCTAAGAGGATTTGAGGGAGTCCTGGGTTAGTTGTTTGGAGATCATGGAGCCAAGACGAAAGTTCAGACCACCTTTCATTGCGGTCGAAATCATTAATTGCTGGGGGCAGATATACTGTAGTTATCAACCATGGGCTTTTGGTCTTTGGGAGATGAATCTTTATGGTGAGAAAGTAAGGGGAAGATTTAATTTCCTCGCAAATAGTGAGGGGTAAGCTGGTTGAAATAAGACAGGCGAGGCCAACTTGGGGGCGACCCCTGTTGGTTAGTTTACGAGCACAGGAGCTAAAGGAGCAATAATTTGGGAGAACAATACTTTGTTCTCCCAAAGACA